TCAGGCACCCACACCTCCCGTCATGCAAACCCAGATTGAGTATCAGCAACCGAGACCGAGAACTGGAAGGAGAGGAGACAAATACCTCCACTGACGGGTCTCACCGAACCGCTGTGCCTTCTGACCACACGCAACAGTGTTTAAGATCAGCGGCACACCCGGCGCCAGATCCTGGTTTCTGAATCCTCGTCTTCAATGAAAGGACCAGGGCTCCCCGGAGACACGGCTGATTCTGGGGCTGGGTCAGGGAAGACACAGGATAAGCGTCCAGTGTCTTGTGGTAGCACCAAGGAAGGAAGTGCCCAAAATGAAAAGGACGAGGACCCACCTCAAAGAGTCTGTGGCCAAAGACGTGACGAGGAGAGCAGCAGGACCGAGCCCTTCGCCAAAGTATAAACTAAATGTGCATGAGTCGCGCTGACACAGATGGCTGAACGCATAAATAAATGGGGAGAAGAGAGTTTCCTTGTAGAGTAATTCTGTGTGTAACGTATGTAGCTATTAACCCCCATCCAGGAGGTGGAGCCTAATCCCCCCACCCTGCTGCCTGAACGTGGGCTCGACTTAGTGTCTCACTTCCAAAGAACAGGGAAAGGGAAAATTCATACTTTTCCGTGGAGAAAGCTGGCAGACACGCCCTTAACCAAGCCGTCAGCAGCGATGGACGCGCTGACACCACGCACCCTGGGAGGGCGGATGGGCAGGCACTTCTCTGCTGCTCTTCCCATCAAGCCGTGATCCCAGGCCCAGTCGTGAGGAAGACGTCAGGCAAACCCAAACTGAAGGGCAGTCTATGAGTACCTGGCCAGCACTCCCCAAAATGGTCTAGGTCGTGAAAACAAGGAAGGACTGGGAAACTGTCACAGGCCAGAGGAAAGATGACAGCGACGGGCAACACTACCCTGTGTTGGCTTCTAGAATAGTATAAGGGCAGTAAGTGGGAAAAGTGAAATCCAAAGAAAGTCTGGAGTCCAGTGAGTTAACAGTAACGTACCACTGTTGGTTTCTAACTTTGGAAAGAATACCATGCTGATGCAGAACGTTAGCGCTGGGGGGAACTGCGCACACAGGAACTCTGCGCTGCCTCTGTAACTTTTCTGTAAATCCAAAATTATTCCAAAATAAAAAATGTATTTTAAAATAGCAATAACAAAAGCAGAACTTTAAAAGTAACTCCCAAACAACAATCTGTGCCTGAAAAGTAAAATATACACGGCTCAGTAACTTAGGTTAAAGAAAAAAACCAAAAAGAAAACCAGGAAGTGCGGTACCACGAGCTGAGTGGCTGTAAAGGCCGATTTGTGAGACAGCGGAGACCGCAGACTGCGCTCAATGTATAGCTCTGGACACAGTGACCAGAAAACAAGAAAGCCTGCGACTCACTGCACAGACAAGCAAAGGAGAAACACAAGCACGACCATCTCAATAGCTGCAAGAAAAAAAAGCATCTAATAAGTACTATTTAGGATTTTAAAAAACTCTGGAAACTTGTTATATGGGAAATTCTGTAATCAGATAAAGGCCAACAAACAAGCAAAACAGAAGAGAATGATAAAGAGCAAACATCACATAACTGGAAAAATTATAAGTGTTAGGCTCAGTAACATGACAGAAGTGCCAGGTGTCAACTACTTTGTATTGACCGCAGTCCGGAGATGCTGACCAGATCAAAAGAGACACAGGGGGAAGAAAGAAGGGACATAAAAATGGAAGGGCAGAGTCAGTAATGACCCCTGCAGAGCAAATGACTTACTTAGAAAACCTCTAAGAGTTGGAGAAGAGAAGACCGAAATGGTGTGAGATGCCACCATTGTGTGGGTCAGATGGTTAACACTGTAAATGTGATTTCCCCTCATCTTTAAACACAATTTAAAAAGTTTCCAGCAGAATTTTATGTAGAAAATAAAGGAATTTTAGGGGAAAAAAGGAGAAAAGGGTCTTTTCCTACCAGCTGTTAAGACACACTACAGAACTACACTAAGTAAAACAGTGAGATGCTGACACAGAAGCAGAAGCCCCCAAAATGAAGAATCTAACAACTTCTATACCCATCAGTTTTCCCAGTATCATAAGCAAAGTAAACTGTGTGAGATCTAAATGTGAAAAGTAGAGTAAAAAGGTAAATAAAGAAAATGTAGGAAAATCTTTGCAGTCTCAGATTGGTGAAAGATTTCTTAAATCTCCCAAAATATAGCAATAAAGTGAAAAACCAATGGATTTAACATTAATCAGAATGAAAATTTTATTCAATACAAAATGACAGATAAAAGTTAAAAGATGATGACAGAATAAAAGATATTTTCAGTGGCTAAATCCACAAGAGATTAACATGTAGAACACACAAAGAACTCCAGTAAATCAGCAAGAAAAGACAGAAATATTATGTCTTGGAATATTATGTATTACAGTGGAATATTATGTATAGATAAGAGTATATGACTCAACCTCATTAGTAAATAATATGCATTATAAAGATTTTTTTTGATAAAGAGGTCATTTACTCTCCTTAATAACCTCATTTATTTTTCAAATTAGGATGTTCTTCCTGATGTTTAATTTAAATCTTTCCTGACACAATTTTTAAGATTGATTATGATGAAGGTATGTGATCATCGACATAAACTATATATGCACAGTAGAAGAAATTCACTAAGTGTCTGTATAACATTATTCCAAGTCTCAGCATGTTCTTGAGCCATGCCACTTTCTAGACGACAACTCTCATTGTCAACAGAAGTTAAGAGGCAAATAACATAAAATGTCACCCCTGGGCATTGCTGTGGAAGCAGGTCCCCTCTGCCTTGTGTGACTCAAGGCATGGGCCTCCCCAGGCCTCTAGAT